GAAAAAAAAAATTTTTTAATTATATGTACTGCATATGCATAGTGCGATTTGAACTTGGACACTTTCGGCCGCAACTACCCAGCTAGCAGAGAAACGTACTTTTGCCAACAGTGCAGTTTTCGTACATTTTTCGTATCCGCAAACGTTCAGAAAACGATTTCCATATTTGTTAATTTTTCGTATCCGAAGAATGTCATCTTATTTCAAAACAATAATTTTAAAATATTTGTCCAAACTGAGCATTTGAAAACATGTATACGTATTCGCCAGTAGCTGAGTGTGCAGAAAAGTGTGCTACTATTTGGTAGCTTTTAAGAGGTCCCAGGTTCGCATTCCGTCAGAAGCAACACATTAAAATTAGTCATTCAAGTTGAAATAATTGCTGAATCTTAAATTTGTGTTTTGTTTGGTTTCCTGTACCTATGAACAAGTTTCTGTGAAGTTCATAATGAAATCGAAAAATTGAATCAGACAAATTTCAGGAAAACAGCCGAAAGCGCATCCGTTTTACAACCATTTTCGATAGTTTTCTGCACATACGTTTCGGATGAACACTTAAGTGGGAGAACTGATCTGAAAAACGTCCGAAAACGGAATCGGAAAACGGATGTAACATCAGGTTTTTTTACGAAATTGTTTCCATTTTCGGATACGTTCTGGCTGGGTAATTGTAGCTAGCATATTTGCGCACAGTGTTGCCATTTTAGCCGTATTCCGGCTAGATTTAGCCGGTTGCGATAGCAAACAGCCGGAGAAATGTCGATTTAGCCGGAAGCCGATTTGTTAGCCGTTTTGCAGAAAAAAATTAGCTGTTTTTAGCCGATTTTGCTACTTGCCTTGTTTTCTTAAATTTTAAATATGTAAATATATATGTTTCCATTTTTGACTAGGCGACCCAAAATCTGTTAGAAATGGCTACTAGCCTTATCGTGGAGAAAATTTTCATGTCAGGCAGGGTTGTATGAAATTGGGCCGATTTCGCTTATTTTTATTTTAAACGAAGAAGGGATTCTCTTCATAAAATGTTTGTTATAAATGTCTTAATTTTAAGTGTGAAGTTTTATTCGCAAACTTAGAAAATAAGAAATAGTTTCCCTGTTAAGACACTTAAGATGCGTTTGTGTTTGGATATAGTGCCAACAAACAGAATAAATATTACATGTAGATATTGTCTTCCCAGATAGCGCATATTCAATTCTGCCTAAATTAAAAAACACAATTTTTGCCCACTCCCAAAGGTTTAAGGTAAGGGAAAAATTTATATTTTCAAGCACTATGTACACATATGTATTTTTTTAAACAAACTTTTTTGCTGAGAACTTATTTAAATAAATTCCAAAAACCGAATGCCAACTTGAATTAAAGGAACCAACACTGAAGTGAGTCAAAATGAGAATAAAAGAGCACAAATTTCTATATAAAGCAAAACTCCCTGGGAATCCTACGAGACATCTGCCGGTCATATGACCGGTCATCTAAATGGGAGATCTGCAGTCTTGTGGCATCATATTTTACATCAGAATTGAAGGGATTTCTGAAAAATCTGACCAGTTCTTTTGTGTAACTGTGATTTTGCATCCCTTGTCAACATATGGCCTCGGTTGATGTTAACTTAAGGTCGTTGTTTTACTGCCTTAAAATTGAAGGGAAATTTTCACAGCGTTTTTTATGTGTATTGGTTTCTATTTGAGTGTATTGAGAATCGGTCAGTCTGAAAAGGCTTTGTAGGGAAGACAATAGGTTTGTTCGTCGAAAATCCAGCGAGAATTATCACTCAAAATATCAGATAGTAAGAAAAAATGCTCCCAAATTCTCTCTCATGTAGAGAAACTTGCAATTTTCTGTACGAACGCAAATTCTTATAGAATTTTTAAATTTTTATAGAATTTTTAAAATTCTTTCAGAGGAGCAAAAAACAGGATCTACGTGTATATATCTTGTCAGTCCGACTTTCTTCAACATACGTTTCAATTTCTTAAGAATACAGTTTTTTTCCGAGTACCTTTCAAAGCATTGGAATTAACTAAATTAATTAAGTAAACAAGTATTAACTTACATTTTTCAATTTAAAATCGATCCAGTTGTAAATTTTTAAATTTAACGAACTTGTTTACTCAAATTATCGTCGACAAAAAATCCAACCATGTGCCACAATCATATGTTTTTCCTAATTGCAAATTCTTGCTGGAAAAATTTTTTTCGGCTCGAATTTATAACTTCTCTCCAAGAAAGAGTCTTTTTACTCGTGATTTATTTAAATAAAACATGTGAAATTTAGTTGAAACATTTTAGCCGGTTTTATTTGCCAATTTAGCCGGTTCGTCCAAAAAGTTCTGGCAACACTGTTTGCGCACTCAGCTACAGGCACAACAGAGAACTGTATATTTATAGAGAAGGTCCAAGAACGAATCAGCGTGGAAACTGTGAAATTTTTTTTTTTTTGAATTATGAAAAAGGATCTGTGAAGTGCACAACGAAAAAAACTGGTACTTTTACAGGCAACAAGTTACGCAGCGGGAGTAAATTGTCACCTCCTAGGACAACTCCATGTTAATTGTGACAGTAGAAAGCTGGGTGGTAGATTTCCGAGGTCCGGTATTCGACTGCCGAAAACTGGTGAATTCACTAGTTCTGTACTAGTACTTTCCGCTGCAGGGTATAGATACATACATATATACATACATATGTATGTGTGCGCGGATATGAAATGCAGCCCTTCGTTTTAATGAGTTTTCTTCTAAGTAATACATACATCCAAATATACAGTGACGAACAAAAGTATTGGCACAGTGAATTATTCGCCATATATGCAAAGTTTTTTATTCTAATTTATTTTCGATAATTTTTTATAAAAATATAGTTAATTCTATACCAGAAAACGTTATAATAAAAACTCTAAACTTTGTGCAAAACTCAGGAAAGTTCATTAAATTTGCACACTAATTTGTAACTTTTTATTAAAATTTTTTAGAAAAATTCTAAGTATGCAGTTTTATAGCCCATTCAAATTTAGTATAACAAAGTGCAAGTTTAAAGTCCCCAGAAAATCGCGTTGATTTTTGGCAATTTTTTTAGTGGAAGGTGTTGCTCATTTTCTCCATACAAAAAATAATTGTCGAATTACTTTGTATGGAAGAACATGCGTGAAAAAAAAATTACCAAAAATCAATGCGATTTTGTAGCGACTTGAAACTTGCACTTTGTTATACTAAATTTGGGCTATAAAACTGCATACTTTGAATTTTTCTAAAAAATCTGAATAAAAAGTTGCAAATTAGTGTGCAAATTTAATGAATTTTCTTGAGTTTTGCACAAAGTTTAGAGACTTTATTATTATATTTTCTGGTGTACAATGAACAATATTTTTATAAAAAATTATCGAAAATAAATTAGAACAAAGAACTTTGCATATATTGCGAAAAATTCACTGTGCCAATACTTCTGTTCGGCACTGTATATGTTGTTATTCTATTTACGTGTGTATAATTTTGGTTTCTTATTAATATCCTTATAATGGCGAATCGAAACATTTAAAAGAAATAAAAAATGTATATGTATTATTTTTTCTGCTTTTCTTTACTTGCAGTCTTGACCAGACGCCCACTTTTCTGATTAGTCAATCTTATCCTCACGAAGTTCCATTTATTATATATTGTAGCAAACAAGGTATGTATTAAAAAGTATTTAACTAAATCGTTTAATAGAAAATTATAAATCGAGTGGCTCATTTACGATGTTTTCAATGTGCTAAGTAACAAGTTAAGTTGACTGCCATCACGGCCGGTAAGAAACCGCAAGCAAAGGGCAGACAACCATCCAGGAAGCTGCCTCCTGTCCCTGAGTCGAAGCTGAAGTTCAGCGAGAAGCAGGTCAGTAAATTGCTACCCTGATCAAGCGTAAACTAAAGCGCTCTGCTGCGATTACAATCCGTAAACGTGAAAACTTGGTGGATGCTGAGAAATATCAAACAAGAAAACTCTGTGATGGACGCCGTGAGATGAAGTTGCGCCGTGTGGCAAAAAAACGCGGCCAATTCTACGTGCCTAAAAAATCCATATTGGCTTTTGTGATCCGTATCCGCGGTATCAACGAAGTTGCACCAAATGCGCGTAAAGTTTTACTGTAGTTCCGTTTTCGCCACATTAGCCACGGTTTGTTCATCAAATTGAACAAGGCAACCATTAATATGCTATGTATGCCGAACCCTATATGGGGTTATCCAAATCTTAAATCAGTTCGTGAATTGATGTACAAACGTGGAATTGTCAAGCACAACCATCAACGTGTCGCAATCTCTGACAGCTTTGTGATCGAACGCAATTTACGCAAAGCGCACGAAATTCAGTGCGTTGATTATTTGGCGCACGAAATATTTACTGTTGGAACCCACTTCAAGAAAGCCTCCAACTTCCTGATGCCATTCAAGCTCAATACATAAACCCGAGGCTGGCGCAAGAAGGCTAATCACTACGTTGAGGTTGGTGATTTCGGTAGCCGTGAGCATAAGATCAACAAACTGCTGCGCAAGATGGCTTAAAGGAATTGTTTTTTTTTGTATTTAAGGCGACAATCTAATTTGGCACATCTTCAAAATGCATATACTCCAACTGAGAAAATAATGACAATTATAATTTATTTAGATGCATATTTTAGCTAAATGTTATATCGTCGCCTGGATAAAAGATTGTCACAAGTTACTTTCGGTAACTATGTACTTTTCGGAATGCTATGTACTAGTTCACGAAATTCTTAAATTATNTCAACGTGTCGCAATCTCTGACAGCCTTGTGATCGAACGCAATTTACGCAAAGCGCACGAAATTCAGTGCGTTGATTATTTGGCGCACGAAATATTTACTGTTGGAACCCACTTCAAGAAAGCCTCCAACTTCCTGATGCCATTCAAGCTCAATACATAAACCCGAGGCTGGCGCAAGAAGGCTAATCACTACGTTGAGGTTGGTGATTTCGGTAGCCGTGAGCATAAGATCAACAAACTGCTGCGCAAGATGGCTTAAAGGAATTGTTTTTTTTTGTATTTAAGGCGACAATCTAATTTGGCACATCTTCAAAATGCATATACTCCAACTGAGAAAATAATGACAATTATAATTTATTTAGATGCATATTTTAGCTAAATGTTATATCGTCGCCTGGATAAAAGATTGTCACAAGTTACTTTCGGTAACTATGTACTTTTCGGAATGCTATGTACTAGTTCACGAAATTCTTAAATTATATTATTTTGTTAGTTTAGTGTCAGCCATTTATGAGTTTAATAACATTTTGTCGTAAACATTTGTCAAAAAATTTGCAGTAAGTTTTAATGATATACGCCAAAATGTGATAACAATTTTTTATAAATTAACGATACTTTTTACTAATCAGCCTAATCGTGAGTTTCGCCCGAACAAAATTTCGCCAACAATCTTTTCATCCACCTTCAGTGAAGACACGCAAACGAAAAAGTGACCCGGTTCTAGAAAATGAAACTCATGATTAGGCTGAATATGCCGGAAACTAAAGAAGAACAGGTAACTCTATTTGAAAGATCTTGATTAGTTTAGTACGACAGCAATACTAACGCAATTTGTGCCCAATAGCCGAAAACATTTTAGTCAATTACTCAGAAATTAAAGAAGATATCCAAAAACCAGTTAACAAAAAATCGAAATATCTTACTTTAAAATATATAACTGCATCTATAACTACAAATTGTCAAAATGACGCTTCCGGCAATTTTCCATCCAAGCGACGATATTTGAATGTTCCTCGCATAATTTCGAGCCTGTATGTAAATTTTCGGGAAAAAAGTGAAAAAGTATATTTATCTGCTGTAAAGATATTTTCGCAGATTCACAATTTATTTAAAATAAATCTATCNATAATTTTCACCACATTAAATAGCTGCACAACACCCTAACTGCCGAAAAAGTGTTGCTTGCAACACTAGACCTTTATGGGGACCAAATTTGGCGAAAAAAACAGCTAAGTTTGTTTACTGGATATACTGAGCTCCTGATCGCCAGAACACAAATAAACGAGCTTAAGCAAAGTGTCGGCTTTTATAGCATTTTTTTACAACGTTTGGCAATTTTGGCAATATGCAAGACAAGGACAAACTTACGTTACCATAATGAACTGTCAAAATATGAAAGCATTGCCAGACTAAACTTACACAAAAGCATTGCCAGACTTACATAAAAGCTTTATACAATAACAACGACAGTCTTTCTTAGTTTAAAAATTCATCTCTTATAGAGCAAGAGCCAGCGACGGCCAGACCTTCGTTATTTTATAAAGGCTGAAAGCTTCTCTATGTATGCTCCCAACACAGGTAATAACAAACCCAGACTATGAAATTTGGATAGTGGTGGCTTTGGCAGGTACCAGGTAGTAAAGGTGTATAAAATACCACCTCAAATTCATGATAGTATAAAGGTCAGTATTTATATATCTTACTCGTAATAACATTAGAAACAACGTCGTTCATTGCCAGATACTTAGCATGGTTCCTACCCCTTGCCAGACACCCTTAAACCATGAAAAATTTAAGTTCTACTTTCGTTATAGTATAAAAGCTGATGTTTCCTCACTTGCCAGACCATTTTGATAGTTCCTTTATCTTGCCAGACGCTTTAAAGGCGTAGGTGCGAGCATGAAAAAACTGATAAAAATTATACTTTGTTAGTTACTTATCGGAGACGGCGGTCCTTACAAGTTGAATTCCAATTTCTTACAAAATTTGTGAATGCCAATGGCTATTCGCTTTGCCACAAAGCCTATTTTTTGCAAAATTTTATAAGAAATATAAACATAAAATTAGACTAAAATTCTATAAAAAGAGTATATTTGAGAAAAAAATCTTTAGAATAAAATGTCCATGTCCACAAAATAAAATCTAATAAGTTACTTAATTATGTGTTGGAGCCTTACGGACTTTTTTTAAATTAAATTTAATTAAAATTTCGATATTGTATTAAGAACTTATTGCTTACCATAGGAGGGAAAAATTATTTTTATAACACTGTAGGGAATATTTCAAGTTTCCAAATTACCCAAAAAACGCCGAGACACGTAAATTTAATTTTGGATCCTAGATTATGGATCCATATGCCGTTTGAATTAGAATATTATTATGCATATAATAATATAATAATAATAAATTGGCGCTTACACATGCATATGTTAGTGTTTGGCCGAGCTTCTCCGCCGACTTGTGCCGTGCGCCTTGATGTTGTCACACAAAGCGGAGTGACCTACAGTTTTACGCCGACTCCGAACGGCGATTGTATTTTTATGAGAAGCTGTTTTTCATGGCAGAAATACACTCGGAAGTTTGCCATTGCCTGCCGAGGGACGACCGCTGTTAAGAAAAAACCTTTTTCTATATTTTTTGCGATGTTGCTTTGACCAGGGCTTGAACCCAGGTGCTGATGAGTGAACGCGCACTGCTTACCATTACACCACATCGGCCTATGCATATATATGACAAAAAAAAAATTGCAATGTACTGTTTTAATATTACCAGCGCTGTAAGTCCGATGATAAAGCTCACAATTTATGAAACTTTAAAAAAAATTATTAAACGTCAAAAATTTTAAATAACCCTAGCTGTTTTTTTGTATCACGGTTGGTTCTGTACTTGTAGTGGTATATTACCATGGAAGACCTTTTAATTTGAGCCGTTTGTAAAAAAGTGATAAGAAAATAATATTGTTTTCTGAGGAGACATTAAAAAAATGTCAAACTGTTTTGAAAGCCAAAAAAAACATAACCTTAAATATAAAGATGTTATTTTGCCTGATGAATATACAGACAGTGGTTATCACCGGGAATGCTATCAAGCATTCACAGGACTTATGACAAAATTTTCCACCAGTGTACTTCCAGACAATTTACCGCCAGCTATGCCGTTGATACCTGAGTTGACCACCGAACCATCTAATTTTCAGCCAATATCAACAATATCTTGGACATCAAAACCAACTTTAATTTTCAAAGATTTTTTTCTCAAATATACTCTTTTTATAGAATTTTAGTCTAATTTTATGTTTATATTTCTTATACAATTTTGCAAAAATAGGCTTTGTGGCATAGATAAAAGCCATTGGCATTAACAAATTTTGTAAGAAATTGGAATTCAACTTGTAAGGACCGCCGTCTCCGATAAGTAACTAACAAAGTATAATTTTTATCAGTTTTTTCATGCTCGCACCTACGCCTTTAAAGCGTCTGTCAAGATGAAGGAACTATCAAAACCGTCTGGTAAGTGAGGAAACATCTTTTGATAGTTCCCCAAGTGACATATATAAAAATCAGCTTTTATACTATGACGAAAGTAGAACTTAAATTTTTCATGGTTTAAGGGTGTCTGGCAAGGGGTAGGAACCATGCTAAGTGTCTGGCAATTAACGACGTTGTTTCTAATGTTATTACGAGTAAAATATATAAAAACTGAACTTTATACTATCACGAATTTGAGGTGGTATTTTGTACACCTTTACTACCTGGTACTTGCCAAAGCCACCACTATCCAAATTTCATAGTCTGGGTTTGTTATTACCTGTGTTGGGGCCATACATAGAGAAGCTTTCAGCCTTTAAAAAATAACGAAGGTCTGGCCGTCGCTGGCTCTTGGGCTATTTCATAAATGCAAAAAAAAAACAAATTAAGCATATACAACTTTTTCATGCCAAGTATGAATAAATTCTCTAAATGGCTAAAAAAAGGATAGGGGCAATTTTAAATTTATGTGGCCAAAAAAAGTATGTGGTATGTAGCTAAATCTAGCCACCAAAGACTAAAACGGCAACACTGATGATAAATTTGTTTGCATTTTTCACTCACGATAAAAGAATGCAAAAATTGATTTGGAATATTATCGATCGCGATAAATCTCATAAATGAATGAAAACGAATAATCATAAATGAGAGTTTCCGAACCCTGGTTGTTGGGCATTTAACTAGATGTTGTTAGGCGCGCCTGCTATTCTTTTGGGGTTTGTAGCGAACAATCCGGCTACAGGGTGGAGTTGTGCAGTGGTAAATCACAAATCACGTCGAAATACCTTAAAAGCCAGTTTCATGAAAGCAATTTAAAGAAAATTTATTTTTTTTACTTGAATTTAATATGTAACCTGACAGAAAAAAAATAACTTTTAACTCAAATTGCTTTCGTCTGAAATAAGTCTGTGTATGTACATATATAGGATTTCCGTTGAACAATGATACGCACCCATTTTGAAATTGCCACCCGTTATACTATAAAGCTTCTAGGACAGATTCACTATAGAACCGGATCCAGTGTTGCCACTAAAAAGGTTTTCCCCTACCACTTTTCTTCTTAAATCCGACCAAAATCGTTTACAACCTACCAAATAAATTTTAATTACAAAAAAGGCATTCTGGAAGCATACTATTCATTTATTTAAGATTAATGGTGCATTTACATGGTACGAAGCCCTAAGAGCTGTTGATATGTTAAAATAGAGGGACTACATGTTCCAATGAGGAATTCAATGATATCGAGTGGGATGCATATAATACATTTTTTCATAAGAAAAATTATGGGGAGATACTGTAAAGATACTGTTGTGAAACTGTTAAGCATATGAAATTATAGAAAGTTGGATTTTCATACATCTTCCCATAAAAAGTTAAGAGATGCAGAGATACCAAGGAGGTTTTTGCCCATTTTGATGCCTTTTTAATATAAAAACCCACCGAAAAGGAGGAAAGCGGCAACTCCGCCATTCACATACATGTCAAAAGTATGAATTTTAAAAATTAAAAACAATAAACAAACAAATTCAAAACAAAGAAATTCTTTGTACTAGAACTTTTTAAATAGAAGCCACTCACGTTTAGTAGACAATAAAAATACAAAAAACTATGATAACAAACTTAAAACAAGACATTACAGAATGTTTTAATGAGCTTTATATCACATTTACGTAAAAGTAAGCCTATATTTTCCAAGCTGGCAAAGAAATGAAAATGTGTATTTTTTGTTGTTTACACAAAGACTTGCCAAATATACATATAAGTCAAAATTATAGAAGGCATGTATACTTCTCCTTTTAATTTTTTGATACAGTTCATGCTTCTTTCTGGCTTTTACAAATGCAGGGATACCGCACTTATTTCGGTACAATATGATCGTAATATATTTTCAATTCGAAATCAAAGCAAAATATCACACGAAAATGTTTGCGATTTTAGAACCATTAGTGAATATTTGCAAACTACTGCAAATAACAGAGTGCCATATCTTAAAAGGTGCAGAGAATTAACGAAACAAACAAGCATTTTACGGCTTCATGTTTCCTTCAGCCGCATTGCTATTTTTTCTAACTTTTCCTTTTGTTTAGCGCTGTAACCGCTTAAGTTATATATTTTAATTTATACATGTGAACTATTTTCAATGATCATTTTTTCATTTGCTCCTGAATTTTGGGTACACTTTCTTATAGTACCTCTCATTCTTTTTTATATTACATATATACACTTCGAAGTTCGGGATAGTATTTTGATATACCAGCAATATATGTAAAAGTAGTGGCGGCTGCTGTAGAGCATTTCGCAGAGCCTGAGTTCAAGCCCAGTTTTTTCTAATAGTGGTTGTCCCTCTGTTGGTAATAGTAAACCTCCGAGTGTATTCTGTCATGGAAACAGCTTCTCATTAAAATACAATTTTCCTTTACTTTGTGTGACAAAATCACGCACTCCGCATATCGGAGGATAAGCTAGGCCAAACACTAACATATTGTTTAAGAGCCAATATGTATATCGTCGTTTAAAGTACAAAAGCGCGTATCGTGGTTCTGCAAAATTTCGAAACTGAAATTTGTACCAAAAAAGATATTTCGTCACCGGAAGCTCCTGACATCAAGCACTTAGCCATTTATAATAAAATATCGATACTTAGACATAAGGAGAAGAGATAGTAAAGTTTAAAAGAGAGAACCGTTTTTAATTAGGACTCTCTCCTATAAAATTAAGGCAACCTCACATACGAGGTTTTGCATTTTCTTGATGCGCGGTTTTGTACTTTAAACGACGATATGCAGAAGTATTGCATACATATTTTGGTGCCTTTTTAAGTATAAAATCCACTGATAAGTCGGCATCCCTATGATTTCAACTTATGCCAAACGTTTCGTAAACAAGCAATTCTGAACAAAAAACCGTTTTTCCACAAAAAGGTTTAAATGGAAGCATTACAAATATGGAAAAATAGCAATCCACAAGGCTTTATTGGCAGTAGGTTAGGGCTGCCAGACGTCCTGGTTTTCCAGGATTTGTCCTGATTTAGCAAATTGTCCTGGTGTCCTGGTGTCCTGGTCCACACATAAATTGTCCTGGTTTTAGTGATGGTGAATGCAGACACTCCTCTAATTTTTAGCAGATTCTGCTATGAAAAAAAAGGTTAAGCTTTCTGCCAAATTGATAACGAAACGTTTTTTCTAACATGTTGAATATTTGGTGAGCTGACCTTCTTGCTGTTTCGTTTATTTGGTTAAAATCTCAATTTTTTTCAGGCAAATGCAAAAAAAGTGCAAGTTCCTGAACAGGTACAAGGGTGAAGGGTCATACATAATTTCAGGAGCTAAACTTCTTATCAAAAAGGCCTTTCTTTCCTTTCTCCTTCATTCTTTTTTGTGGAGTGGCACAAATTGAAGGGCTTCTGCTTTCGCTACTCAAAAAAGAGCTTTCAGAAGGTCTTTTGTAGGACGCCTTCTGAAGAAGTTCTTTTAAAGTTTTTGTTAATTCATAAAAATCATACTTCTTTAAGGAATTTATTTAAGGTTCATATCAAAAAGTTTTATTTAGACTTTAAATGCCTATTTGCAATGCTAAGTAATATAAACATTTATTTAAGTACATTCGCGTAAATTGTAAATAGGAAACACCTTTCTAGGAAGCATGCAGGGAAGCACTCCTTCAGTCCTTGTTGGGTAAGCCTTTAAGAATGGCTTCACTTAAGACAGCCTACTTAAATTATCTTCAGGTTATATAAAACGGCAAAAATGGATCATGAAGCGCGTTGTAGGATATGCGGAAATTTGCTAGAGGTGGTACGTCACCGTCACGAGAAATTTGTTCTTTTATGATTAAAAAAATTCAGAACTTGAGCATTTCATGACCATCAATCATTCAGCTCTACGGATTGTGCCACAATAATACGTTGCTTATAATATCTGAATCAAAGCAACTGTACTTACAGGGAATATATTGGCACCATATTCACTTGTATCTTCGTTTTTGATTTGGATGGTAAGTGTCCTGGTCGAAGGGTTCAGGATTATCGCAGCGCTACAGTAGGTCCTTTTTAAAGCAAATTTAACAAAAAAATAAGCTTCTAGTTTCGAAGCTAGAAAAAAATAAGTCAAAATTGTTAAATATATATCGCTTTCATTAATTTCTTCATAGAGTTGGTGCTTCTTTTATAGGAAAATTCATACGGCTTATGAACAGATTCATACCATGTAAATGCACTTTGTACATTTTAAAACAAACAAGAAATGAATAAATTCAGATAGAGTCTTAGGTACAGAGATGAGATCATTTAAAATTTATTGGTTGTATGAATTATATACATATGTACATGTTATGTACCAATAAGGTGACTTTCTTAAAAGTAAATTTAGATCATTTAATTACACATGCAAATCTTTAGCAGCTGTCCACACGTAGTGCGGGTCATTATTGTTTACAAGTTCCTTGAATAATATTATGCTATTGATACTGTCAATCTTCCGGAACCTGCACCCGCTACAGCGTTCGCGACCCTCCTACC